CTGGTCCCAGAGCAGGGAGCTGCTGGAATGGCATCCCAGGGCAGTTTTCCTCTGTTCCTTAGATGATCAGTCTGGAGAGAGGTGCATTCCTCCACGGTTTGGTAAAGCTTGGCCATCGCTCTCTTGACCTGGGTCATTCCTCTGAGTGTATTCCCCAGATTTCCCACATGTGTGGGAATTCTTATTCCTTCTGCCTGGCTCACCTGTTGACACTTTTGGGACAGAGACAGCCTTCTAGGGAATGTCTACAGAGAAAAACAAGGGGGATCACAAGCCTGGGGCTTTAATCTGGTTTGCATGGAGAGCCTGAGTAGGTGCTGAGACACTTCAACACAAGGACAAGCCCTGGCATCCCAAATTTCCTCTTCCTTTGCCACCTTGTCATTACTCCAGTGATTCAGGTGGCTCCCCTGAGCACCTTCACATCCCTTTTTTTTTGCATCCCTTAGCAGCAGCTCATGGGCCTTTGGGAAGAGGAGAGAACTGTGTGTAAACTGCTGGTCTAAACCAACAAAGCCTATTGTAAATAAGTAACAATAATGAACAAACAGAGAGCAGGAAAATATTTTTGTTTCAGAATTGACAGGAGAGGACTCGTTTGCAAAACACTGTCATGAAGCTTGTGACATGACTGGACTTTTTCCTAAAACCTCAAAGCTCTCAGGATCATAGTTGTTCGTTCCTGGAGAGAAATAATGAATAACAGGATGTTGTTGAGAGCTCAAATAATCACAGACTCTGGAACATTAATGGAACTGTTGTGTAAAACAAAGGAGCTGTTCCAGACAGCTGGAAATGCAGTTCTGAGTTCAATTTGCTACAATGCCTGCAGTTTTTCTAGCCTTGTTTCCACAATCACTGCTTGCAAAATAATCCTACAGGAGCATGACTTGCATGTTCTTCCAGTGGGTCCTGATGGTTTGTCTGACTGGGGCAAAAACCCAAACAGTGATGGGCACAAATGCCAAAGTCCTCTTAAACTTCCTATTTCCCTCTCAGAGCCACCAGTCTGCTGTTCCACACACCCAGTGGGGGTCTTGTGGGGTGGTTTTATGTCCAGAATTTCCCAGCACCACCTTTTCATTCAGGAATGAGCAAAGGGCTTTGGTGCAGGGCCTGTGGATTATTTGGGCTAAAGAGTGGAGGGGACAAATTGAACCCCTGGGGCCAGAACTCCCTGCTCAGCTTGGAGCTGGTGCAGGTTTTACCTCACAGTTCCTTGGTGTGCCACCCTTCTGGCACTGCTTTGGCCATCCTTTGCATGAACATCTGTTTTTAGCAGGTGCTGAGCAGTCATTTAACTCTGTTTTTTACCTCCCCATGTCCCTTGTCTGTCCTGTGGCACATATAAATCTGAGTGACTCTGCTGGGATGTTGTTATAAAGCTGGGAAATAACATTGGTAGCAAAGCTCATGTGAAGGTTGTGTGTGTGTGTGTGAGTGTGTTCTGCATCTTTTGGTCTAAAAAGTGGCAGAATCTGGAAGCAGCACTGCAGGAAACCTCCCAAAAAACCAAACCCCTTTGCACTTCTGGGTGAATGGGAATGTCCTGTTCCGTGGTCACCTCCCAGAGGGCAGGAATGAGTCTCAGGGTGGAGAACAGAGGACAGAATTTCAATTTATCACTGGGTAATGATTGTCCTGTACCTCAGAGGTGGGCAAAGCTGGCTGGAACAATGGGGACAGCAGTTGCTGAGAGCCTGATGCTTTGCCCTGCAGGTTTTTAGGGAAGGAGAAGGGATTATGATCACAGAATCCCAGAACAGTCAGGGTTGGAAGGGACCCCTGGAGATCATCTAGTCCAACCTCCAAATAATGGCAGGAAACAGTGCAAATCCCTGAAAACAGGCATTTCTTAGCCCCTACCCATGGTTCCCATGGCCTGGGGATGCCAGAGGGGGGAAAGGGCA